AAGCCTGGATGCTTTCCCACATCTTACACTGTGGTGAAACAGGCCTCTTGGCATTGACTAGTTCCTGCATTAAAGGATCTTGGGGCGAAGTTTCTATCACGCTTCCTCTTTGCAGCCACATCCCTGTTTTGCAGTGTCGCATGAACATTGTTGGGAGAGCTGCAGTGTCTCAAATTCATGTAGTGTGACCAGGGTTCAGCTTGTGGCTGGATTCTTGAAGGGTTTTCCAGGAAGCTCTAATATGAGGAACTTGTCAAGCAATGATACCAAGAACAAATTTGTTATTTCAAGAGGGAGACTATTTTTCCCCAGCAAACCTCTGACTTAGTGTTTAAAAAAGATACTGAGCCATCAAGCAAAGGTGAATCATTACCCCATGGCATAAGGGACAAGATAAGTATAGGGTGCTTTAATTTCTAGTCCTTCTCAGGGCCTGAGATGGCTGTCAGAAAAAAAAAAAGACAATGCAATTTATTCTGTTTATGGGCTGAAACATCTACAGTGCACCACCCTCTCACCTCTCAATTCATCTGCAGGACTGTGAAATAATTATTTAAAGAAGGATTAAGAAGCTGTGGGCCCTGGAAACTGCCCTTCAGCCAAATGTCTCTGAATTCCTTTGTTAGTGACCCATCCCAGAATGGGAATGCTCTTTTGCCATCATACTTGCTTAGACCAGAAAAAAGTTGCCTTTGCCCTGATAACTGAGGAAGGAGAAAGTCTGAATTTCAGATGCTGCACAAGGGCAATGCATTTCTCCCAGGGGCGTCTGTATTTATGCTGAAATTACGACATAGAGAGCTGGGAAGTGATTGCCTGGGAAACAAAATTCTCTTAATCACAGAATCACAAAAAAACAGGAAGGGAAAAGTGCCCACAAGAAGTCACCCAGCCTATCCCTGGTCTTTATACAGGGCCAACTATCTCAATGCCATTCCTAAATGATGTCTAATTTATACTGACAGGCTTAAATATCCTCTTGTCTTTCACAGGCCATCCGTCCCAGTGCCATCCCTATTATTAAGACGTCTTCCAGATGCGTTCGTGGTACCTCATTGATGCCATTTATATCTCTGGTCATTTCTGCTGCTGTTGGTGTCTCTGCTGGTTCCTAGTACGACAGTGACCAAACCAAATGCAGTACTACAGCTCAGACCTTCTGCTGAAGGCAGTCTAAGCTCTTGCACTTTTTTCTTTTCTATTCCAGAATATTTTTTTGGCAATGACAGAATAGTGTTGACTGATTTCAGCTTGTGACTCCCTAGCTCCACCACAGAAGTGCCACTTAACCTGCTGTTCCCCATTCTAAATATGAGCTGTTGATTATTCTTGATGAAGTGTAGCACCTTGTTCCCATCCTTCTAAAATTTTATTCTGTTTTTAGACCCCTTTTTTTAACTTGTCTCTATGATGTATAATTCTAGTCCTCTCCCCCAGCATTGCTTATAAACTCCCAGGCTGATGTTACATCTTATTCATTATCCAGCTGACTAATGAAATGCCAAATAATCCTTGACCTAAGTGAGTGTCTGCAGACCCAATGTGACATATCTTTTGCTGGTGACAGTGACCCATATCTAACTCTCAGCAGAGACCCAGCCAGTTTTGCTGGCCTCAGAGCAATCACCTTAGTTTCCTTCTGACAGTGCTGACAATGTGTGACACAGCATCAGAAATCTTCCTGAAGTTGATTAAATTTGGCTTTTCCCTACCTGCAATGCCTGTTACCGTGTCACAGAAGGAAACTAAACTGGTTTGACTTGATTCTTGACAAATACCTTATTTGCAACTCTACTTCTTGTTTTCTGAATGCTTACAAACTGTCAGTGGGATTATTACTTCTAAAGCATTCCCAGAAATTGATGGGAAACTGGTTTGTGTGTCATTTTCCAGTTTCTCTTCCCCCTTTTAAAGATAGTCACTGCATTTACCCTTTTCAGTGGCTGGTATAACTCACATCTCCCTGAGCTCTCAGCAATCATTGCTGATGGTGATTGCTTTAGTTTCTTCTGTAAATATCCTGAGGTAGGTCTAGTGATGGTCCTGAGTAAAAAGAGCAGATTGAAACCCAGGTTTGTGACCTGGCACAAACCTAGAAGCGTATGTAACCAAAGCAAATTTCTGCTGAATCATAGAATCATATAGGTTGGAAGGGACCTTTAAGATCATCAAGTCCGATCGTCAATCTAACACTGCCAAGTCCACCATTAACAATGTCTCTAAGCACCACATCTACCTGTCTTTTAAATACCTTCAGGGATGGCGATTCCACCACTTCCCTGGGCAGCCTGCTGTTCACTGGTATTAGTTGTGTTAGCCTCCTGCTCACTAGTTCACCTTATTTTGGCTGGGAGATAAAACAGATGCTCACTTTCTAGGCATCAACTTGATTAACTGTCCTGGTTTCAGCTGGGATAGAGGTTTTGGGCTTTTTTCTAGTAGTTGCTGTGTTTCAGATTTGATATGAAAGGAGTGTCAATAATTGTTTTACTTGTTGCCAGGTGATGTAGTGTTAGTCAAGGACTTTTTTCAGCTTGCTATAGAAGCTGAGGGAGCATAGATAGAACGATGGAATAGCCAGTGGAATGCTCTGTACCATAGACATCCTGCTCTGTATATAAATGGGGTTGGCCAAGGGGAGTGGGGGACTCGCGATCACTGCTCGAGATGGTGCCAATGCACCAATTTACCAGGTGGTAAGAGTGACTTATGTCTTGTACATCCTTCTACCCTTACTATTATTATTACCATTATTGTTATTTTTTCCTTTCTGTTATTGTTCTATTAAACTATTTGTATGTTAACCCACGAGTTATTTTCCCTTTCCCCTCCTTTTCTGCCTCTTCCTCCTGCCCTTCTCAGGGACGGGGGAGAACTGCACGAGTGGCTGCATGGTCTTAGCTGCCAGCTGGGGTTAAACCACAACATTAACTTTCTCCTTCCGTTGAACAGAGAACAAACTCTTAACTTGGTTTTTGTCTTCCTTACTGTCCATATGTTTAAAGACTGCTTTCTTGCTATTCTTCATGTTTCTCACTGTTTACATCTGGTTTTGCTTCTTGGCCTTTCTGAGGTTCTGCCTATATTCTCTTGCCACTCTATTATTCAAGTAACAGTAACCAGACACAGATTCTTCTGTCTTTGTGCTTTCTTCTTCTGTTTGAGGTCAAGAAATGGCTTATGGCCATGTTAGCAGCCAATGATTTAGCACTTCACATTAGGCTGGGATTAACCACCCCTATTTGCCATATGTCCCCATGACTATAATAATGGAGTTCTAAAATTAGAACCTTTGCCTGCATCTCTCTTTTATGCACACATACTTAACTCAGGCCTTCAACATTAGTGATTTTAACTAGGTGTATATCTTTTCTTCCTCCATTGCAAAGATGTGACTTTCAATACCTGGAACATTTAGGTATCAATAAGAGATTTTGTGAGGGAGTTAGCAGATGTCTGTCCTCACTAATCATCTGAATGTTTCTGATTATTTTGGAGGAAACTCTTTTTGTTAGCAAATTAGAATTAGGTATGGATTCTCTGTAGAAAAAGAAAACAAAATATAAAGATTTCCAACAGCTCTCAGGGAATCACTATGACATTCTTCAGACAGCAAATAGACTCCCATGAATCTCTTGGAATTTTCCCATCCTTCAAACTAAATTTAATACTGGTATCCCAATGGTCATAGTGGTAGGCAATATGGAATGTAATAGCAAAGCAAGTCATGCAAGTGCTTTCACGCTTCTCTCTTCTTCAGCTTTGCAGGAGGTAATAGAACAGCACAGATTTCTGGAACTTTTCCATGCAGACTCGCTCTTGTTCCCTGTGACCCGAGAACTGCATCTTGGACCACAAGGTTCTGTTAGCAAGAGGAGCTGGAAACTTTTTTCATGCTTCTTAAAGATCATGGCATTTGATGTAAAAACTGGCCTGAATGCTTTCTTTAAAAATGTAAGTCTTGTGCAAGTGCAAGTCTTAGTGTTTTATGTTGGCACCAAGCAATTAAAAAAAAGGACATCATTATTTTAAGCTTATTATTTTAATGCTGTAACACAGAAATAACACCTTCCACCCCATTAGATGGTGGATAGAGAGTGCCCTACTGCAGATCCTCCCCACTGTCACACGCGGGAGCAGGTTCAATGGTGTTGTACTGTCTGGATGGCAGTAGCCCAATTCAGCAAGGACTCCTTCTGTGGTGCTATCACTGTGTTAAGTCTGGATAGTGGGTCGTTGAGCAGTCAGAAGCCATGACAAAGACAGTTCACCCTCTCAGAGAGAAGATTTATTGGGTACATTATTGGGTGCATATAGAACTATGCAAGACTTTGCTGTGACCCTAATAACAAGATATGACTAAACCATGTGTAGGCATCCTTGGAGTCCTGGCATCCTGGGAATGACATATTTTAGGACGCTAAGCTTCTCTTTATAACAATTTTTCCCAAGTTCTCTGCTCTGATCCCCTTCTATACTTTCTGCAGTTGTTTAAGATGGGTAACACCTCAGCTTACTTCTGTGGTTGCCCTTCCTCCCTGAGATGTCAAATTTCTTTCCTTACCTCGTTTTGGGTTGTACTGCTTGTTCTGCCTGCCTAATGAAAAGACCAAGCAATTATGAAAAAGATTTTAGAAAGTAGCTACAATTTTAGAAATTACTATATCGATACCTTGAAAAAATACTAGAACAAACAGTGCTTTCCACCTTATCAAAAGTTATTGCACCTGTAAGCAATTCCTTTCTGTCCTTTTGTTTAAGTTCATATATGAAAAGTATGGTATGGCCGCGAGACCGTAATGAGGGTGTGCTCAAGAAACACATATGCCAGGGTGAATGGAAGTGTAAGGTTTGGATTTTGTGCCAGAATTTCCATTTGGTGTTATTTAAAACTGCAGATCAGGGCTAGACTATGCGACCAGCCCTAGATGAGTGTATAGTCAAACTGTACAATGTTGTTCCATTATATCCTGGCTCTTATGGAGCTGCTCCTTTAACAGGCATCTGAGGCCTGCAAAGAGACAAGCAATCTTCTACTGGGCTGTCTCACACAACCTCACTTCAGGCAGCCGAATTCAGAACTTGGATTGGGAGTCTTGGCTTCTCAAAAAGTCAGTAGAGCCATTTCGGTGCACATGTCTGCCCTGACTCACCTTATGAAGACCTCATTGACTGAGACCTTCATTTGGACCTTCCACGCAAGGGAAGTTGAGTTTCAGTTGCACTTTGAGCTAAAAGTTTGCCTAATGTGTCATTCCTGTAGGAACTACTTCAGGCTGCTGCCCTGCAAAGCCCTTGCATCCACAAGCCAAGTCCACTTTGCCAGGAAGTGGTCAAGAGCCTGGAGTTCTTTGATATGTCTTTTAATCTAACCTGGTCCAAAAGCATGAGCATTGAAATGAGGGATGTAAGAGGCAATTCCGAGGAAGCCACAGGAACAAGTAAAATAGAAGCAGAGTACGTTGCTGGTGACAGACCTTAGGGCTGAAGAAAGCCAGGGATAAATTGAGTTTCAGCCCGGGAAGGCTGGCACCTCCACAGCCTGGCAGGTCAGCTATTCTGTACAGACCAGGAAGGCTGGAGCCTGGTCCCCAATGAGAGAGGCAGTAAAGCATCCTCTTCTGAGAGAAGGACAAAGCCATGTATTGAACAGGTATGTTGCAAGATGAGTCTTTAACCACACTCTGGGGCAAACAGGAATTGAGAGCTTCTCTCTCTCTTTTCCTAAAGGTATCACCTCCACTTTCCAAATGCTTGATTTCTTACGGAGATCCCTTAACAAGGACAGCTCATGCTTGAGCTTTGTCCAGACACAGCCTGTTAGTAAAATCCCAGATCAAGAGTTGAGCTTGAAGCGAGCACCCTTAAAATGCCTCAGTGCCTAGGTTTTGGCCGGGCTGTTACCAAGTTCAGGCCGTGTGGTGCTGTGCAGGATGCATACTCCCGGCTCCTTCATGTGCCAATCTTGCTGTTGTCCTCAAGGCATCATTTTCAGTGTAGCTGAATGAAGCCCGCAACAGAGTCTTCCCCAGAGCCCAGGGTGCCATCAGAAGGCCCTGGATCTTTATTTTTTCCAAGTTCTCATCTCGTTTGAAACCTCCCTGTATAAAATCTCACTTTAATTGAGTTACAGTTAAAACAAGGGATGGCAGCTGCGTGTTTCAGCACAGCCCCTTTGGGAGTAAAAGCAACAAACCCAAAAATTGCCTAAGACCCTCTCACGTGGGTGGCAGCAGCCAGGGTTCACCAAGGAGAGGACATGGCCTTGGGGGAGCGGAGGCAGAGGAGGAGGAGTACAGCAGCAACCATCCACCACACTGTGGTCCCTTTAAATCTTCTCCGCTTGGCAGCTCCAATTTTTCAGTGTTGCTATAGCAAATCTCCATGGCAATGACCCTAATCAGGGAAAGGGGGATGCAGGGGGGACGCATGCTCAGAGCGGCTGCTGGAGCCTCGCCTGCTCGCTACAGCTGCTCCCAGGGTCTGGCGCACGGGCGAAGAGAAAGATCAGGTACTTGGCAAACTGGTCCTTGGGGTGCACCGCAAGCCCGCGGCGTGTCACTGCAGCGGTGCGAGCATGTGGGTTGGCGTGTACAACGTGGGTCTGTGCTTATCACGCCTGCTCCCCTCCTTTGTGGGGAGCGTGCTGGGAGCAAACTGCTGATTTCCACTATTTCTCCTCGTTCCAGGCGGGGAGGAAAGCGTGAATTGTTGATGAGAGCAATGGCGTTGCCGTCTGTCTGGAGCGTGCTGCGCGTGGCGATCCCCTTCATCTGGGTGGTTGGCCTGCTAAGCGTGAGGCTTGTGGGGGCCAGCCAGGACTCTGGGACTGTCATTCCTGCAGAAAGTAGGTACCTGCCCTGATGCCCTCCCGCCCTCCCACCGCACCACCTCTGGCTTTGTCCCCATCACTTAGCCCACAGCAGCCCCACAGACCTTCAGCTCCAGGGGGGAGCGTTGCATTGCCTGATTAGCGAGGGAGTGATGATGAATTTGTAATGTGTCAGCAAAGCACAGGGAAACAGTGCTTATAAAAACAGCAAGCCAGCAAAGGATTAGTACTTATTTAGGAAGAAAATACTAACTGAATACTATAATTTTAATTGGAGCTTGTTTTAAAGCTCTTTGGTTGTAGGTCTTTTAGATCTGCTTCTCAAGAGTTTTGTTTCCAGATTTGCTGCAATACTTATGAAGTCCATGTGAGGCTGGATATTCTAGAAGAAAAATTGTGTTTATTTCTGTCATTTGTGTTTATTTTAGTATCTGGTTGAAACAATAGCTCAAGTTCAACTTTCTTGTAACTACTATAGATTGACACGGGGGGAAGTTGACCCAAACATCATATTTGTAAAACATATATAGACTTCTGAAATCCTGCTGCTATTCTGCAAACTTAAAAAATAAATAAATACAACAGACTGGCTTGAGCACACCCTGGAGCTGGGAGCTCTTGAATTTGGATCACAGCTATATATTAACTTCCTCTGTCATTCTGGGCAAGTCTCTAGTTAACTTTTCTCTTCTCCAAAATAAGGCAATAGTTCAAAGATATTACGGGATGGAGTCAACGTTCTCAGGGTATTTTGGTGACAGCAAATGGGAAGTAGCCACTCATTAAAAACTTAAAATACCCTCTGGGGAGGAAAAAAAAAAAGGAAGGTCATTGCATAGAAACAAATCTCGAGTTCTCAGTCATACTTACTTTGTATCACAGCTATCTTTTTACATGACTACCAAAATATTTAACACATGACCCGATTTAGTCACTGCATCTTATTCTCCTGTAATTCCATTACTAGTTTTTAAATACACCTATGTGTATTTGTCTCTACAGCACTTAAATACTGAATTATCTTCTTCTTCCATTCTCTTATTTTTTTTATTAGCGCTAGGTTTTGGTCTGTTCTAAAACAGACGTCATCTATATTTTGCGTGCATGCTTTCCAGGCACACTCTAACTAACTTTAATAAGTTTTATGGCAAGTAGTCCATTTTGTGTCCTCAAGGAGAAAATCATGCTTGAAAAATGTATTTTCCCTTTGTGTGTCTGTGTTAGCAGAGGCAAATCAACACATTTTTGGGAAAAAGTATATAGCGATTCCTTGTTCTGCTTTTGTAGTGGAAACTCTTGGCCAGGGTCTCTGAACCCAAACTCAAGGAGTTATGTCATGGTTTTGCTATCCTGTGGCCAGGCTACTGAGTCCACTGAAGAGCCCTTGAGAACAAATTCCTTGTCTTGTCTTACTCCTGTCTGTGAGAGTGAGGAATGAAGAGAAGTTCGGAGCGTTTCCACCACCAGTGTTTCCGCAGAGACCTGCTGTTCTGTCCTGAGTAACGGAGGCTGGTAGCGTTGCTATGAATGCGTAACGGCGTTTATGTCTGAGGCCAGGCCAGGAGGAAGGCTGTCAGCTGATCATGAATTGTAAATTTTTTTGTGCTGCTGCAAAGTTTTAAAGCTACAAGGAACTCAGGATGCTCCTAACCAGCCACTCAATGAGAGTGTTGCATAGCTGCTTAGTGTTCCAGGTATTTTCCTTTGCCCATCAAGACTTTTCCTGATAGTTAACCTGTGGAACTCCTCCCTTAGGACACTGTGGATGCTAAAAGTTTGCATGGGATTGCAGAACTGATTGGGCAAATTCAAGTAAAAACTCTTAGAAAAGGCTGTTAGATACAGCAGCAGTTCTTCTGGCTCAGAATCTGCCTCAGCATGTTCCTGAGGCATGGGAGGGTCTTTGGTGACACATCCCTACATACTTGCCCTGATCTTGTTCTCTTTCATGGGCATCCATTGTTGGCCATGAAAGTCACATCTGTAACCACTGCCCACGGATGTTCCTTGGCATGGGGGCATGACTGTACTAATAACCTGCCAGGATGGTCCCTGACACACTTTTGTCCATGACAGGGAGGCCAGTTGCATATCTGGAAGACAGAGTTTACTGTTTCAGAGATGAGCTGTCCCATGCCAGCTGCTTTCAAAGCTTGGGAATGCTCCAAGACACATTTAATGTACTAAAGAGATGTAGCTCTTGGGAGACAGAACCTAGGCCAGGCAGACCTTTGATGTGATCTAGTACAGACATTCCTCAATCTTTTCCTGCTTGATGTCAGGTCTACTACTATTTCTCATCAAGGACTTGATCCTCCTGCGTACTGACCCATTCTGGGGGCCAGTGCTACTGTGGGACATGCACACACCTTCCCTATCACTCAAACTTAAGTCTGTACTGTCAGCCCAGGAAAATGGTGGCTGTGTGATCCTGGATGGCCCCTGGAGACGGGGATATATGACATACACGGACCATACTAAGCGTCCTCTGCAGGGCTCACCAGTGTGGTACTCAATGCTCTTCTTTGTTCCCAGGTGTGCGAGATGGGACTGGGAACATGCCTTTAGAAGGAACAATCCCTCATGGCTCACACAGCACTACAACCTCTCTCTCCCTCTTGGTGGGAGAAATGTGTCCCTCCTGCAGCACCACGAGCAGGAGAGGGGCAGCAATGATCTGGTGCAAGTGTGGGAGGTGCAGGAGTCTCAGGAGTCACAGGAAAGAAGCATGAGAGTGAGTCAGGGTTCCTCTGAGCGTTGCAGAGACATCCTGCCCTGTGTGTGGCACCGCTATCTGGCTTGGAGTACCATCACCTGCTTTCCACTTGGCATACTTCCTGCCAGCCACAGAGCCAGGCCCAGCTATTTATGAATAATGCTAATGAGCAGTGATTAATCATGTCCTTACACTTACACAGCACTTTGCATATGCAAAAGACTGTTCAAGTATGAAGTGGTGTTACTAATGTTTGCGGATTATTTTCTTTAAAGTTCAATGCAATCCACTAAAAAAATTAAGCAATTTCCCCAACCTCCCAGTGCATTTATAGCCCAGATCACCCTCTGCGAAAGCTGGAATGTGGAATTTGAAGAACAGAAGCTGGTCAGTCTTTTTTCATTAGCCAAGGTGCATGAAATAAATGCCATGTGCTTGCGAGGGAAAGCAAATTAGACTTCCACAATGCTTTCAGTTCCAGTTTTTCACCAAGAAGAAGCCAAGAAGCATATTTTAAGCTCTCCTCCCCCACTTCTTTCCAAACACACAAAGACACATACAGTCTTCGTGCTGACAGGACCCATTTAAAGAATTATAGCTGACTCTTGATAATTCTCATTATGTTAATCCACAAACCTGTTAAGTCTCCCGATGAATGATAGTCTGTTCCCAGCTGTCAGCAAGGAATTAATAGCACTCTGCTGTACTTTGCTATGATGTGACTTAAGGTTTGGTTTCACGATTACTTTAAGCTGATGTAAGCCTATGCTGCCTCTGGCCTTCTCCTCCCCATAACCTGGCCTCCTGTCCTTGCCCAGTTTCTTGTTCTGGCTGCAGAACTTGGGCAGTCAGGATTTGATCTGGGGAAAATAAATCAGTGATCCAGCTGACCAAGGAACTGCGTAGTCACTCCTGCTGTGAGCAAGGGAGGTGTGGGAACACACGGCAAGGACAGCAAGCAGGGTGGGATTGCTCCTATTAGCAATGGCACATATTTAGATCTGTCTAAAACCTTTGTAAAAAACGAGCTTTAGACGTCATTGCTTTTTGGGAAACATCCATAGGCATCCTATTGAAAATATTGTGAGAACGAAGAGAGAACAAGTCCAGCTAGACGGGCCAGCTTACCAGCCCCAGCTCTTCAGTCCAGAAAGGAGACACCAGGGCAGGAGGTGATGGAGAGCAGCAAAGTTATAAGTGGGACAAAGATGTTGAATATTTAATAACTGTCTCTCCTAGTGCAAAAATTAGAGGCAGGAAATGAAAGCAGCAGATGTTAACTTCAGAGCAGTCAGGAATGGTATTTTGTTCACACACTGAATAGCTGAGCTGTGGAACTCATTGCCACAGGATGCTGTAGATGCCAAAAGTTTACATGGATTCAGGAAGCAATGGGGCAAATTAATGTTAGAAAAATTCATGGAGACCTTATCAGATGTAGAAACACCAGCCAGACTCAGGATATCCTCCAACTTCTTGGTAGGCTAGAAGAACATTGCTAGAGGCTTATTCTTATATCTTTCTTAAGTATCTGCTATTGGCTACTGGAGAGTCTGGCTAGTATAATAGATTAAAAGCCCGGCTAGAGTAAGGACTTGGGCAGCTCTGCTCGTAAAAATCTGACTGTAGCTATGGGCTTTCTAGGTAGTGGGGTATTGCGCCTATTTTATTTGGGGAACTGCCTTCAGGTTGCTCTGTGCTCATGCAAGGTGCTTGATGGAGATACCAGCACTGCCCTAGTTGAGTCCCCAGAGCGCTGAACAGCCGTGTGCTCTGCAGGGCTGCACGGGTGAACGGGTTTACAGCCAGCCACCTCCTCAGCTGCTCATCACCTCCTCCCAGGTACAGCTGTCCTCTTATCTGCCACTGATGCTGCTTCAGTGAGTCCTCTCTGCGCCACTGGAAGTCAAAATGATGGTCCCCATCCTGGCATGTAGCTGGTTGGAGAAATCACAGGAGCTCTCCCACTGCCAGGGCTGCAGGGCAGCAAGCTCCCAGCAGGCAGGGGTGAAAACCTGGCCCAGAGACAGCTGTGCCTGGAGAAGGACCCTCCACCGAGGAGGACAGCCCAGGAAACTATAGGAGAGAGTGAATATCCCATTATGTGGTGAAGCTGGCTGCACTGTGGCTTTGAAGAGCAGTGCCATGCTAAGAGCTTCACATGTGCTGATCCAGGACACACAGACCTGCACAGGCAGGTGGCCTCGGTGCCACCACCGTTTTCCTGCAGAAGCTGCTTTGATGTCAGGGCAGCTACTTTCACAGGGCTGGTAGAAATAACCACTTGGCATGGTTGTGCCATTCCACTAGAACTTCCCTGTCCACATAGGAGCATTTGGCTGCCATAAATACCAGTGAATGACCCCACACAGCCATGGCCTTCATGAGGGCCTTGGAAGACCTCCTGGGTAGCAGGCAGTGAGACTATGGTACCCATGGCTCTCCTCAGAGATGCTTGCTCCACACTGCTGGAGAAGGAGACATTAATTTATGACCCGTAGTTTGTTTTTTCTCCAACAAGTTCTGATTTTGAGAACACTTTAGTGACAAGCACTTCAGGATATGCAGCGCTTCGCCGAGGCGGAGCCAAGGCAGAGCGCTTTCTGAGGAGACCGCGGCAAAGGGAGGGAGCAGACCATGGCACCAAGTGAATGATGGATTTGCTGAAAGGATGCAGATTCTTTCTAAGGGCTCTGCTCCATGATCTGAAGTGAAAACAAATTACTGAAATACTGAAAACAGGAGGGGGTTGAGTGTCTTTAAAATGTGCTCAAAACCATTCTGTTGCTACTTCTCTCAGGCCTGGAGAGGGAGACTTTGTGAGTGATGCTGTTCTTATAGAGCTGGGGACTTTGCATCTCCTCATATCTCCGGAATTAAATCCCTAACTTGGTCCCTGGGTCTGCCTGAAATGTCAGAAGAGCGGAAGGGAGATGGAAGAGGATGGGTGGAAGTGAAACAACCTCCTGAACAGGTCAAAGGCCCTAAGAGGCTTGCTGGGGACCCAGAAGTACTCTGGCTGCTCCCTTCCATGAGGCCCAGCTGGGAAGTGTGGGGTGGCAGCAGGGTGGCCGGCATGGGGTGGTGCACAGCATGTCCCTGGCTCCAGGCAGCTCCCCAGCTATCTCAGCAGCAGCTTTGCACCCTCTTTGCTTTGTCAGAGCAGCCCAAGTGGCTGCCTGTAGACAAGGATTGCAGCACTGCCCCTCAGCATGGGGGCTCTGTGGTCAATGTAAAATGTCCTCTCTCCCCATTATCCCCAGGGAGGGATAATGCCCCAGCAGGGCATCTCCTCCAGTATCTGCAATTCCTTCTTCTGAAAACTCACACTTCATTAACTCTGACTGAACAAAAGGGCCTGAGATGAGTGCAGGGTGAATCCCGGCAGAGCAGAAACACCCAGGTCCAGAAGCGAAGCGTGTGAGTTGTTGTGAAGTCCCTTCCTCCTCCTCTTCCCTGCCTTTTCCCTGCCCTGCCCCTCTGTGCACACACACTGGCACCAGCTGCAGAGCCAGTGGGATGCTTTGCATTCCTGGCAGAGAAAAAATACAGCAGCAGGTGAAAGGAAGCAAATACAGATCTGGCACTGTCCCTTGCCAAGCTGCTCTGTAAAGAGCTCCTGTAAAAACAGACCTGCCTGTCTGATTCCTGAACCACTGCAAACTGCTATTTTCAGTGTATCACTTCAGAATTAACCCATGTGTGAGGAAGGTTGAGGATTTCTGCTTTAAGGGGAGGGGCTGGGGGCTGAAGGCACACAGCACTGGACAGAATCAAGCCTGGGCTATGTTCAGAAAAGCACATGCAGCAAAAAGCTCTTCTGTTTTTGTGGTCCTTACACATTTGCACAAGGCACAGGCACAAGCCCTGTCCATAGGCAGCCCTAATTTTGTACACATGCAGGAATGGGTGCCTGGTAAAATGTATTTTTTTCCAGCATTGCAAGATCTCCCCCTCTGTACTGCCACACTCCAAATTTCATCCTGTGACAGTGATGTTTTCTTCTGTACCATTTTCCAGGTCGTCCCTGTGTTGACTGCCATGCATTTGAGTTCATGCAGAGGGCGTTGCAGGATTTAAAGAAGACGGCGTATAATCTAGACACGCGGGTATGTGTTTCTATAGAAATGCTTTTACTTAGCCTTTATCTACAAGTGGCCAGGTCTGCCTGTCTGTGCACAGCAGACATGACATCTCTGCTGACTCACTTCCATTTCAGCAAATAGGATTGTACCAAGCAGAGATTATTTTTCACAGGCTGGAGAGGTTCATTAAAGATCATCTCATCAGACTTCTTGCATAACAGGCTAAAGAATTACGCCAGACAGTCCCTGCATCAAATAGAGATGTAAAGAAGATGTATGAAGGAGAGAAGAGCAAAAAAAGATGATTTACTCTTTATCTCACAGCATTGCTTCTGGGCTGTGCCCTGAGCGTTCACTGGGCAGGAGGAGAAGCCAAACAGCAGAGCAAGAAGGTGGCGGGCAGGACCGGTAGAGAGGGAAGGCACACACATATATTCCTTGCTCATGGATCGATATTCTGTGAAAAAGGGGGAAGCAGATTTGATTGAGGAGTTATCACAGCACACAGAGCATTTTGCAACTTCACATGCTGACCCTGTTCTGCAGAAGTCCCAATGAACAAAAAATGAGGGTGTGTTAAATGCCCTGATTTTAGCAATACATACGTATATGTTCATAAGTATGCACAGACACTGACTGGGGTAGGACTTACCACAGGGGTTCCCATGCTGTCTGAAGTTTGCAATGGGCAGGAGGTCTCTCACCTCTAATAAAGCCCCCTCATGTATGTCTTGTACTACTTCTTCACTAACAGCTCCATTATCAGTGCCAGCATGAGAGTAAAACAAAGGCATCTCCTGGTTCCTTTAGGCACCCGCTCAGTGTCTCTGGCCAGTGCCACCTCTGTTGGTAGGTGAGGAGGGCTGCTTGTTCCTTGCTCACAATCCACTCAAATTATCATTCGCAGCAGAGACAACCAAAGAGATGTAAATCAATTATGTGTCTCAAACTATAACACAGAAGGGCAATTACGTTGCTTTGCCTTTGGTTTCTTGTGACCTTGGGCAATCATGTACGGCCCCACGCAGTAAGATTGGAGTGACTTTAGCTTTCTTGAGCTATCAATAGCAAGCTGATTAGGCCAAAACTCTGAGTGCAGTACAGGTGACATCATAAAATTTTCCCATGCACTAGCGTAATAATAAATAACTTTTAAGTGTCAGACTGTGAATTGCAGGGCTTTACCTCCAGCAGCTCTGCTGGGCTGTTGTGGTGTATAGTGGGGTTTCACTTGTTTGGATTACTTTTAGCTGAAACGTCGTGTACCTACACATGACACGGCAAGACCATGTGCAGCTGTGTTGGTTCTTAATGCTGTCACCAAGCTTTACATGGGAAGTTAAAGGAGGTAATAAATTTCCATCTAAGTTGCATTGGGAAGATTTTTTTTTTTAATGCAACAGAGGCAGCACAATTCCTTAATCCCACTTACAGAGGTAGTCAGATGTATCTGTGTTGGCTATTTGATTTGCAGGGTGGAGTGAGAATACAACCCATCAGAGAGCAATGGTGTCTTATAAGAGGCGAGGCAGAGTATAAAGGGAGAAGCTGGGCCCAGAGTGCCACAACATAAGCTTCTGTTTGTGTGAGGACCTGGACATGAGGATCTGAGATGCCAAGGCACTGATTCAGAAAGCTCTCAGTACTACAGAACAAGGGGGACAGGAAGAGTGCGTCACCAAACGAAGCATAACCAGTTGTCTGGAACATCGCCCACCCTGTGACAGCTGTCAGAGTTTAATGCTACTGGTAAAGAAAGGGTATGCTACTGTCCGTCTTTTCCAGCCTTTGGATTGAGACTCCAAAGCCTTTCTGGAAGAGATGCTTTAGTTAAATACAAATTACTGAATGATGCAGAGATACTAAAGTGAGATGCAGTGGCCAGAGCCCTACAGATGGCACACTGTGGCCTTCTGTTCTCTGGAAGGTACAGCCTCCATATCCTTACTCAACCGCTGCTGCTTGGCTCATGCTGACTGACTATAATTTCTCAAATTTTACACACAAATAACTTCATTCAACAACTCCTGAGTCTTGAAAGTTGTTGTTACAAGGGCAAGCCCCATGCAGGACTGTTCCTATCAGGGACTTCCTAAGGGCAAGCCCCATGCAGGACTGTTCCTATCAGGGACTTCCTAAGCCAACGCCAACAGGGCCGCATTTAATTTTTGTAATTGATGCTTCTCCTTCATAGTCTTTCAGTTTGCAGTTGAGTGCTCCCAGAGCTGCTCTTCCTGCCTGTAAATAGTCATGAGTGATGCCTGGGCAGGGTTTGTGGTAACAGTGACAGCTTGTTGGCATTACAGTGAAATCCAATAAGCCTGTTTGATGTTAAGATGATTCTATGATTTCTACTGGGCTCCCAACAATGAGAGCATTCACTCATCCTGGATTGTACTGTACAAGCGAGGAGCAGTGTTTAACAACGCCTGCCATTGCGCTAATACGATAAGTGAAAGCAGACAAGGAAAGTGAACAAGTCCTCTTTAATGCAAAGGTGGATGTCAAAAGTTTGAGTTGAAAAGGATAGAGCGCTGTGGAGGGGAGGGAAAAGCAGCTCTGGAACAGCCTCTCCCTGCAAGAGCTTGCGGTCTGAGAGCAAGAAATGAGCAGTAGAGAGTGGGAACTGCGAGAGGACAGAGGAACAGCGGGCCAAGGGAGGCAGAGCTTGGTGCAGCAGGTTCCTGGGAAAAAGTGCCCAGCCACTCCTTTGGAAACTGTGTCTTTGTTAATTAGCCCTTTGCTTTTCTAATTTGTCAGGAGGTGTCATGTCAAAGGAACACCAGGAGGCTGAAGATCTTGTTGTTTCACAGAGCTTTTACATGATTTGTTAACAACTGGTTTACAACCTTTTCTGATTTTTTTCCTGTGCAGATGGGAAACGCATTCATGGTGAATTTAAGCATGGTAACTTTTTTTCCCTTCAAGAAACTCTGCAAAGTCAGAGTTAAGTGACAAGTTAAGTTGAAAAACCACAAGATATGCTCAGGAAGAAGTTTCTCTTGAGTCAAAATTGCACCGGCTAATGTGAGTTGCTTGCATCAACAATTTTATTTTGAGTCTTGCAAGAGGCTCAGCTTCAGAAATGATGGTGCCATTTGAGAAATTCAGCCTTTTTTTTGGTCAAAGAGTGAGACTAAAACCTATAAAAGATTTAAGCTATTTCACTGTAATGAAATAAATGATACTTAAATATCTTTGAGGATCTTAAGTTAATTTTTTTTCCTGGACACAGAAAAAAAAAAAAGCTTGGAAATGCTTTCTACTAAGACAGTCCAAAAACAAAAGCAAGTATTTTAAAATTATGTATACAGAGAATGTTTTTTAAGCTTTTGATGGAGTTGTGGAGGCTTGGCTCCAAATGAAGTTGATAATAGGGCAACTGTCAGTAAATTAACTCAGGTTAAAATAGGAGCCATAAACTCAAGTCTAGATCTGCCCTGAAAGATTAGGAGTTTCAAACAAGGTTAGACTGACAGTTGGATTGAACTCAGAGTTATTCTGGAGAAACAGCAGTGTAACCGAGAGCACAACTGGCTCCTCAGCACATGCTATCTGGCGCAATTAAATACAGTACTGAAGACATTGTCAACAGGAAGCCATCAATCACTGCAAAGGAATTAACAGCAGTGCAGTTGAAAGTGGGATTTTGTTCAGCATTTATAAAGGACACTTTAATAATTTTGACAGCCTATTCCCTGGAAGTTAACTGTGAAAATGAAAATATTTAAACTATAAAAATACTCTCCATGCATCTTGGTTCTGAATATACTTATTTCGTCACTTTTTCTAGATGAAAACCAGCACTAATAACTATGATTTTTGACTCAGGAAAGCACCTTGACTACAGCTGTGTGGAGGGATCAGGTCTAATCAATTATATACTCTTCTAAAGTGATATATTCAGTTCTTTGATTTCATGGTGTTTTGTTTTTTTTTGCAGACAGAAACCCTCCTCCTGAGAGCAGAAAAGAGAGGGCTGTGTGATTGCTTTCGTGCAATACACTGAAATGAGCACTGGGATCTGGCCAATGGACATTTACACATTTTTAAAATGCTGTTCAATAAATTGCAGGAAGATAGAGAGTGCAAGTTGAGCCACATCGCAAGGAAAACAATTTTTATCCAAACAGGTACAGCTTAGTTAGATCATTTTTGCTTTGATGTGTTTTATCATTACTGTATGTGATATTGCATCTGCTGAAATGTCAACAGAAGAAACAGTGCCAAAGTCTCACTCATGGGTTTTATGTAAGGATAGCATCGCACTTTTCTGTTATTTCAAGCCAAAAATTGTCCTTGGACTCTCAGGCCAACCTCTCAGCACATGTGAATTGCCACAGATCTGTGAAAGTCAGTGAAGTTGAATTGTTTAATATATTTATGGTAGAATGTGTCTCTAACATGAAAAGGAAGCTCCTTTGCAGTGATGCATAGCTAAACATTTGCAAACAAGCAGTCATAGCTTTATATAGAAATTAATAGTTGTCGCTGGTTGCTTGGCAGTCCAAGGAAGGTATTTGTTCCCAGTAGTATCAATAGTCCAGTGCACAGCAAACACAGTAATCTGTATCACAATTTTAATTTCTTCAGAGCCACACAGTAGCTGTGATCTTTTTGGAGAGATTTATTAAGTATATAATGTGATCAGTAACATTTGTAATCACATGAATACTGCCTGGCAATTGAGCTGATTGCATCTGCCAAAATCTTCTAGAGAAGTGTCTTTCATTAAGCAAATCACATACTGGATTAAACCACTCAAACTGGCCTCTACAGAGAGATTTGGCAGAGAGCCTACAGAACGCCTGCATGCCCAGGAGTCTCCTGCAAACTGTATTTTGGGAAATATTTAAGTTCTTCTAAAATGGGCCATAGCTCTTGCGTGGACTTTACACTCCACAGTGGTGGGTTACAGTGCTGATACTATTAATATTCCTGCCGCAGTCAGTGTGAGACAATTTAGGCAGTGTAGTAGTAGTAGACGACAAGACTGCACCTTGTTACTCTTTGAAAAATAATAGCAAATCCTTTATCCTTTTTGTTCTTTTTTTCCTTTGTTTTGGGAAGGGAGGGGGGAGCGGAGCAGAGGGTGAGGAAGCAGAAAAGGGCCCCAGTGGAAAGTTCTTGTAAATAGTAATAGATTTATTAGAAGGCTTAAAATATCACCCCCAAACTATAATTAATAGGGATTTGTACATCAGCTAGAGCATCTATGTACAGGCTAGAAATTTTTATACAAACAAGAGTATGGGAGCAGTATTAACAGCAGTGGTTTTCAAAGTCATTTTACCAATTCTTATTAATAATCTGTCTTTCCATAGGCGGCTGATACTTTGCTGTCAGGCTGCTCAGTAAGTTATGATGGTAGCTATCCGTGTGTTTCCAAGCTGTTTCTCTCCCATTTTATCTACCACAGTAGGAACAGGGAAAGAGGGAATGGTGACTCGCTGCCAACTTAGTATTTTGTGTGTGGTTGTACTCAGTAACACAACTGAGTGTGTTACCATATACTCTGCCAAAGCTGTTTGAAAGGCATGTGGTTCTCAGCAAGGAAAAGCTTCCTTGCACCTGCATTTCAAGTAGAAAATTTGCTTTGCCCTTTGTAGTATTCTAGAAAACCCCTTTATAGGTCATCAGGACCTGGTTTGTATAGAAGAGAGGCAGCATGACACAGCAGCACATTGCTTCTAGCAGCATCACGCTCCACTGTAGCACTGGCAACTGACTGATGGGAGGCAACAGAGGTTCTTATCATAGACTGTGTTTTGTTTTACAGATAAAACAATAGGTTTAACACAACTCCTTTGCAAAACGCTCAGCCTTAGGTTACTTTACTCCCACTTAAACTTGAACCAAAGTAATACACAGATTTTGGGGTGGCTTTTTGCAGGAGGTGGAGTTCCAGCACTGAACCTGTGAATTTTCCAGCACAGTTCACCTTTTCAGGGGACGTCACATCTGTGGTTTTGTATTGCTATAGTGCATGCTTATTCTGCTTATTCCCTAAAGAATCTTGCAAAATCCTGTTGGCAAGCACTGGTTTTTGGGCTGTGTTTTTATTTAGAAAAATGTTTGCTCACGGTCGAGTTTTGATATACGCAGCTTGTTACAATAAAGAGGTGGAATGAATGACAAGTGGGTGTTCTCTGGCTCCCAAAGGGATCAGAGTGACACTGCAACTTTACAGTTGTGACGGCAGTGATTATTCTGTATGTACTCCTCTTTCTCTATAATACAATACAATAAAAAGGCAAGATGCATTATAGTATTTGGTGTGCTTTGTTACTGATTTGAAAAATGATAGTGCTTATGCATTAATAAATATCTGGTCTTTAATTAGGTGGAAAATCCACAGAGAAAAAGCAATATTTTGAATATGAAAATACAGAAATCTTGTATTTGGGCTAAATTTATGGATGTATTCTCATTTGTTGAAGTATAAAGTCAAACTCACTCTTTCTTATTTGAAATTAAAAGTACTACTCTGCACTTAATGGTTGTGATAAAGCTCCTTATAATTGCTATGATGACATGAAGAAAAAAATTGAGATAGATAGTTTTAATTTATTATTGTTAATGAAGCTAATTTAAATCCAGAACCCCCTTGAGTCTCCACTTGCTAGAAGAAACTGTATATTTTGCACAAGGATTTAATTGCGGGAGGCCTTAAAACAGAAAGTCTATTTTCCCACACAACACTTGCAGCACTGTTTTGCTGCAGAGCCAAGGCAGTTGTTGTGACCTTTTGAAACCAAGCTGTGTCTTCTTTTCTTTTGGCGCAGTGCTGCTGCAGGTAGCCCTGGGCGCATGGCATTTGTACACAAGGTGGAAAGCAAGTGGTAGACTGTAAAGATGCATAGCAAAGTACTTCCTGTAAGAGAAAGGATATAACCATGTTAACGTGGTGCTATCTCCGGGTGGGCAAGGTGAGGAAAAAATCCTGGTAATCCTCTCCACATCTCCAGAGCTTCTCGTACCTGAGGTAATGTCTTCTTTGGGTGTAATTCTGTGTGTATTCTAAGTTGGTAATTTGGAGCTGAGTAGCAGGACAACTGTCTGAAAATATGTCTCTGGATTCCATTCTGAAAAATGGGAACACAATTTATCTTGCTTGTAATGAAGGTACCTATTATGTAACATCAAAATTAAGCAGTATTATTGCTAGCTGAATCTGGCTAGTGTATGGACTGTGGTTCCTTGCCCATATTTTTCTGTGGAATGCTCCAAAAGCTCCATGGAATACCCTTTCTAGATGGAAATCTCATATTTAGAAACCAGTTATCTCTTTGTACCCAGAACTAGCCTGTAGGTAACTCCTGGGTGATCTGAGCATCCAATATACATTCCCCGTTTTCTAAGCAATACCTATAGAGTGTGTAGGTAGTTCCCTTAAGAGCAGCCATGTGGTTTCTGTGCCCCCTCCTTCACCTGCCCCAGGTTGGTACTCAAAGACCTCCTCCTGTAGCCCTGGGACTTGTGGAGGGGGCTGGTGCTGGCTGTTTGTTTGCTACCAGAAGACAGATCTCACACTGCTATGCTGGGTGAGGACTTGCTATGCTGAAGGAGGCTAACAGGAATCCCAATTTAGTTCAAAGGTAATTTAAAAGAAGAAAGGTTCTGAGGCTATTGTGCCCTTCCCGAGGGAGAGGAGCACAAAGGATGTTGTTTCCTTTGGAACTGGCACAAGGCAGAAAGTTTGACTTTGCCTCTCTTGGCAGACAGGAAAGAAAATCCCCTTGGCTAAAACAATGTTCTGCTTAGTCCTTCCCTGACCAGGACTCAGTGAGTGAGAGAAAAGGGGAGCAAGTGTGGAGGGGTAAAGAGACACCTGCCTCCTGCAGCCTGGCTGAGCTGCTGGCAAATCGGTGCTCCTGACTGAGAAACCAGAGCTGCAGCCTCCTAAGGATTTGTCTGCCGTGCATGGCAAGCAGATGCTGCGATCATTTAGAACGAGGGCAGTGCTGCAGACAAAGCCAGCACAGCGGTGTCACCGACAGGATTTCAAATAGGGAGCACAGAGATGTTGTGCCCACTGATGCCAAAGAAGGGATCTCTCCTCAAGCATGGCATGTGAATTCTCCAAGCTTTCCAGGACCTGCTTTTGAGAGCTGTGCAATGAAATGCAGATGGATGAGGTGGTTATGAATAACCCATGCTCCTCAGCTGGAGCTGTGCAGAACACGGGAAGTCTCAGGGAGGCTTTGTGCTGTGCTTGTTCCCAAAGGAAAAATGGAAAAGCTGGAAGCATCTTTTGTAAACTGGTACTTGCTGACTTGAAAATTTGGGGGAAACTAATTTGCAGGTGCTTTTACTAGCCAAGGAGAAAGGCAGCACTCACTTAAGGAGTGTACTTGGCAAAAAAAGTTAAATAGAGGTGGAAACTAATATCAATTGCAAATATATATATGTATGTATAACATGTATACATGTATAAAATATTTAACCTCATTTTTGATCCAGTAAACATTTTGAATACGTAATTTCTGACAGTGATGGATGAAGTCTGTCTGCTAAACTTCTGCAAAGACAAGGTGATTTTCCAAGTTGTGATTCTGGCTCTGCTTTGAACAGGCCTTGGGGCTCTGTTCAAAACATGCACTCAGCATCTCTGCAACTCCTCACAGGCAAAGGAAGGAAAGAACATTTCCCCCCTTATACTCATGATAATGTGTTGACTGCTGGAGAAGGATACCACACTAGAAGGGCCTTTGGTCTAACCAAATATAGACAGGCTTATGTCCTTATGTTATGTTCTCTATGTATATGGCTAGAAAATAAGTTAACTTCCTTCCCTGAACTCCACAGGGATAGAATAAGAAACACAAGAAGGCTGTTAGAAACCCACTTTGTCATTCTCATAATTCCTGGGGAGACTGAAGCACATGGTATACCTTACTAGAGCCCACTTACCCCAAACCTGTCTCACCCCCTCCATCCCTCAGCTGGGTGGCAAAGGGGAGACAACTGGATCCATGAAACATGTAGTTCCAGTTGGCTACTGAGCTCAGAGATGATAGAGAGGAAACGCAAAACCAAAAGGAGTAATTGTAACACAGAGCATCTACCCATGATGGAGCTTTATACAGTGAAGAAGCCCAAGTATCCACTTGCTCTGTGTGTGAATACAGCCCTGTCCCTAGCAGATTAAAAAAAAAGAATTAACATTGGTAATATACATTAATGTCCATTATTAAAGCTTCAGCTCACTGCATCCATCATTATGTTTTCCATACAATAGCTCTTTGCAGAAAAGTCTCCAGTAACTGATAGACCTTTTGTTCAGCCTGGCCTGTTTGAATGCTTTCTTTGAACTCCATATGTTTTTGTTCATGCTGAAATCATTATTGGAGCCATTTTCTCAACACTGTGACCCAATTTTTACCCTTATATGCCCACATGGGATTCTTCATGAACCTACTGGAAACCCCAAGAGGTGACTAAGGCCTGTTTCATGCTAGCACAGTGCCTAGTTTACTCTGTGTCTGTCTAAAATAACTGCCTTTTGGATTTCCTAGAGTTCCCTGACTGTTGCAGAAGGTTTTACTGGGGACAGCAAAGCCCTTGTGCCCTATCCCTAGAAATATAGAACAGAGGACTGAGGGCTAAAGAAATTTGATCCTATAAATTGTGTTTCTCAAATTGATCACAAGTTGGCTTCAAGATTAAATGTTACCCATAGTTTAAGACCTGACCATGTGAAATAACAACCAGAAGCCTAACCTTTTTGTAGTGGTGCAGAAGGTATTTCATCATTCCAAAAAGCATGAAGGTACTAAAGGTAGATGGTGTCTGCAGCACCAATTACTGAATATATCTGTTTTCTCTAACTGTTGATACGCCAACCTGCTTTTACTGGTCTGCACATTATAGATGGGAGAAGAATGACACTTCTCAAGAGGATGGATTCTCTTTACATCAGATTTCATTTCATATAAATAAATGAAAAAGGTGAAGTAAAACTATGGATCTATACATTTTATTTTATTTTTTTCAAAGACATAATAATGATAATATAACATGTCTATCTTTTCTGATGTTTAATTTGTTTTCTTTTTAATTGCTCAAGAAACTGTGCCTGCATCTCGCTACTCAGGTGTGCGGGGGAGTTGGATGTATAGCAGACTGTAGAACATGTAAAGCTTATCAGTAGCAGTTAAGTATAGTATAACCTTGAAGAAGAATTTGGAAATCAGGAATTCTTGAGCTGCAATACAGCCACTCAGGTGTTTTGAGGTACAGGCCATTTTTCCTTTCCCATCTCCAAATTTCCCGTCCAAATTCATCAATGGAGGAATACTATTTTCATAAGAATACAGGCCATTGTGTTTCACTTGTGGATGTATTAAAAGCAAATATGTCATTTATATATGAAAAGACCAAAATCCTTGAGTTACAACTGTATTCAAGTGAAATCTGTACGCATCATAGCTCTATATGACTTCTAGTGTCAAAGATACAAATAGTGTATAACTATTGCCTGTTTAGCTAATATTTGGATAATTACAGGAAATAAAAAGATGAGTGTTATGTATTTAAAGCATTTTATAAACCCACTGATTTTCCTACTTGGAAATTAATGAAAAAACTTTACTTGAAATTCGTGTCCATGTTTCTAATATATCTTCCTGAACTATGCCTCTTGTATTTCCTTTCCCCAAACAACCCCATGAGTAAGTTTCATAGTCTGCAATTAGTAAGTGTGAGGTTTTCTGGCTGTGACTGGCAAACAGCTGGCCATTTGGACACCCATATACTCCTCCCAGTCACTTCCAACCTGGAGCATCACAAAATCATAGAATTGTCTAGGTTGGAAGGGACCTTTAAGATCATCTAGTCCAATCATCAACCTAACTCTGATAAAAAAAAAACATCACTAAACCATGTCACTATGTCAACCCGTCTTTTAAAATATCTCCAGGGATGGTGCCTCAACCACTTCCCAGCCACTCCTGCCCAAATGACTGATTGCTCTGTGGAGAACAGCCCCCCTGGAAAAGTGCTCTTGCACACAGAGCCAGGATGGAGGAACCAGGGAGGCTCCTCACTCGAGGAACCCAGTGCCATGGATCCTTGTCATCCTTGCTACGGAGAAGTTTTGCAGGCTTTGCTGGCATGGCTTGGCTGAGCACAAAACACGGAGAGAAGAATGCTGTACACTGCAAGAGGTGCTGCAACCACTGTAGTGCACAGAACTGTGTCAAGATTTACAGGAATAGGTTCAGAAAAACTCAAAACTCAAAATCCCATTTTTGTGTTTCTGCACTATAT